TCCTAAGGCCAATTCCGATAAATCCCTTGGGAAAGAAAGAGATCAAGAGATAAAACCATCTGTTAATGTGGTCCCTGCCTCTCGGTTTCCAAATGTTATAGTGGTCACCAGAGCAGCCAGCCAAAGGGGCGTGTGTGTGTGTGTGTATGTGTGTGTGTGTGTGTGTGTGTGTGTGTGTGTGTTGGGGGCTAGGATATGTTAGAGGAAACATCTGCCCACTAAGTGCCCCCCCACTAAACAGCAGCAAATCTGTTTCCTTGAGCGCTTTCTCCGGTCGGTCCTGCTCCTCCAGCCCTTGGGGAGTTTCCCGGCCCATGACGTAGGCAAGAGGGTGAGAGGTCTCAGCTTTCACAGGTGTGAGCGGCGTGGCTGTGTGTGAACTTGTGTGTGTGTTGGGGGTAACGTGGAGCGTGCTCCAAGGGGCTGAGAAAAAAAGAAAAAGGAAAAAAAAAAGATCGCCAATTTAAAGCATTGCGGATGCTTTGAGTGCCAGTCTCAAAAGACAACACCAGTCTGCAATTAGGGACACGAACAATGCTGATGGGGAAGATGAAGAGGGTGGGAAACCCACACCGTGGAATGGAGCTTTCCACGCGGCGGGAGGGACAGGGGCGCACTCGGAGGGCAGGCGCTATGCAGAGACAGTCCCCCCGGCTCTGCGCTCTCGGTCCGCGGCCCAGGGACGCCGGCTGGGTGCAAGCACGCACAGAAAAGACACCCACAACCCGCGGGGGGGGAGCGGCCGCGCGCCGCAGGTTCCAGGCGCGCTCGCCTGCGGCCGGGAGAGGTCCCTCTCCCCCCGCGGCTGGAGCGCAATGTGGCGATCCGGCCCGGGGCGGGGATGACTTCATGCGGGCGCCGCCGCGCGAGCAGCAGCTGCAGCCGGCAGGTGGGGTGGAGGCCGGCAGGGCTGGCGGCGCGCACGGCCGGGCGCCGAGGCACTGCGGTCCGGGCGGCGGGCGCGGGGACGGGCGCCGACTCCCTCCCGAGAAGGTAAGCAGCGCCGCGCCGCGCTCTCCGCTCGGTTCACGATGGGGTTTGCAAATCGGAGACGGGGAGCCCCCTCTGCTGCGTTCTGCAGCGGGGAAAGGCGCCGCAGCTGGAAGGGGACTGCGCGTCGGCCAAGCGCCTGGGATCGCGGGAGCCGCGTTTCCCGGCAGACAAAGAGGCCGGCCGGCCCGATGGCCGATCGGCAACCGTTTGAGCCCCAGCCCCGCTTAGCAATCGAAGGGATTCCCGGTGTGACATAATCCGAGCTGCGCTTCGCGGCTCCACCTCCAGCCTTCCCTCGGTTCCTCGGTTCCTGGCTGGGAGCGGCAGTCCTGGGCAGCAGGCTGGGGGAGTCACAGAGGCCCCCCTCTCCGCCGCCTCCCTTCCCCTGGCTTTCCCTTCCCGGTGATGAGAACGGCTCTGTGCACACACTTCACTCGGCATCAAACACCTGCTGGGCTCCCGAGCCTTTACAAAGCCTCACATCAGAGCAGCTTCTCATCTCCTGGAGTTCAGCTTGGGTTGGGCAGGACTTGGCTCCACTTCCCTCTGCCTTTACTATCGTCCCAGCCAGTCATTTCATTGATTTGGGGGGGGGGGTGCGGCGACCTGTGCTCTCCCACAGGCCTGCTCTTGTCAGCTCCTCTCCACCACCTCTGTTCCATGGCAGATTTTGTCAAGGACCCCGAAGGGCATTGCAGACACCAATTTGGGTCTTCTTCCCACACACTGGTACCTGTGCCCCTCCCCTAAGTGCATGGCATGAAAAAACAGTGCCAGCCTGGTTTCTGGTGACTCCCTTCATCGGAGTCCCTGTGCCACCAGGAAGCTTGGGAGGATGGCAGGTACCTATAGATTCTGCTCCCCGTGCACAGGCATAGGTGGGAACGGAGCTGTGAATGGCCCGTCTAGCCAGTTTTTCTTGAAGCCTCTGCAGCCCAGCTGGGTTGTGAGACACCTTGCTGGGTAGGGATGAAGGAAAGTCCTCGCCAAAAGCCAGAGGCGCGTTTGTCCTAGGGTTCCCCAGTAACCTCAAAAGAGTTTCCAGGGAGGCTTTCCTCTCAGGCACCTAGGACGCCAACGGGGCTGGCTGATCTAAGCCTCCGGCTGTCTGAGCATCCTCAAGTGTGTCTCCCCGCGTAAGGGTGCTGACCGTTTGTCCTTGGGTTTCCCCACAAACCCCTGCTGCTGAGCCCAAGTGCCTGTCCCTGTTGCCACCTAGGGATGCACATCTGAACAGTAGGCTGTGAAGTGGGTAAGATGGCTGTGATGGGGATTGCAAACGTGCCACTTCACCAACAGAGAGCAGTTGCAATGAGCCAGGCTGTGGAGTGTCTGTCTGTGTGCCAATCTTCTGTTGCAAAGGAGACCTGTTATCTTTAAACTTGAAATTAGAGAGCCTGACTCAACAGCCATGTCATTTTATTTTAGCGAATTAAAACAGGAGATCCAATGAAAAGGAGCCGCAGGGTTTATAGCTAAAACATTGACCTCTGCTTATCTTCCTTTCCAAATACTGCTTGTAGACAAAGATACTGGTTCTGAAAAATCATGTGAATTCTGTTATGGGTGATTATTGCTTTTCTGATTACCAATTCTCCTTTTAGGAGATACAGTTTAGAAGGATTTGAGTTGGTTTCTTTGTCTCCACCTTCAGTATATGAGGCTGGGGAGAGCAGAGGGGGCAGACAAACCCCACAGCAAGTGTTCCCTGGGATCATAAACACTTCAGGGCTGATTTCATTTTTGGCTTCTTGTTGTGGTTTTTATTAGCTGTTGAGTGTGCTCTGGGTTTCAAATGTAAAATTGTCGAAATTCTAGAATTTTGGCTCACGCTTACCAACTAGGAGAGGGAACAAAGAACAAAACCCTGTCTCACCTGTCTTTCCTAGTCTTAAAATAACTATATAAATAATTATTCTGAAGATTAAATGATAAATATTAATCATTCATTTTTAAGAAATTAGTCCTAGGTATACGAAATACAGATTAGTGCAATCGATCTTAATAACACCACAAATTCCTGTAATTTTCAGAGGCGTCTTTATGGTGAAGAGTACTGCATGAGACTAGCCTAAGGATGGTTAGAAACCGAAAGTATCTATGACTTGGCTTCTGAAAAAACTGAGATATTTGGCAAAAAATTAGGGGACGGCTGCTACCTCAGCTGGCATCATACCTGCCATTAATTTTACAGGTGAGCTGAGTCTCCTAAGCTATGGACTGGATAAGTTATGGACTGGAGAAGCCTTTTCAGGAAGATAGAAAACAAGTTAGAAAATTGAATTTTTCATTTCAGAGCACCTGAGGAAGACCATTACATTTAAGGGATTTCTGAATGTGGACTTTAGGTTTAGACAATGTCTGAGGCAAGTTTCTACATTCAGAGCTTTAAAAGGAAATGAATGTACGATTTCATGAGTGAAACTGATTTATGACTTTATTTCCTTTTCTTTAACCGTCTCCCAGGGAAAGGAAAAATTAATTGCCTGGTGTTTAGAAATGGAGGAGGAATGAACACTAGGATGCAGTGCACTGTTAGACGCTAAATGAGCTGCAGGTGCTTTCGCAGGTTGGATGTGATACGACTGAAGTCAATCTATTGCTTCCCGATAAGGAAAAAAAAAAACACACAAAAACCGTTTAGTCTGGCGGGGCTCAGTGTTATCAGTAATTTGGTTGGTACAAATTTAGGAGTCAGTCAGTGTTCCCTCTGATAACAAAAGGCATTTCCTGGTACTGCATTATCACCATTAGCTACAATCCAAACAGCCTTGTCTTGAGATTTTGAAAACTGGGAAAGAAAAAAAAAAGTAGGAATAATAAGGCTGAAGAAAAAAAGTCATTTCTATTCAACCAATGCCTCCACTAAGAATGGGTAGAAAGCTGTTTTGAAAGCTGTCGATAGCCTCTTAATTGCCAGATTTCTGTAACATTTCGTCCTTTTCATTATGTCTATATTTTTAAGCTCCCCTTTATGCTATTTTTTAAATACCTGTATGTAAAAGTTATTAATAAGTAATATGTATCAGGCATTTCTCTTTATGTGATTTCTCTTTATCTAGTTTCTCACGAGTCCCCCTAAAACCCCCCCAGGACCAGACTACACCAAGTGGTCTTTATTTCTAAGTTGTGCCCCATGATGCCACGCCTGTGTGTCCCCATTTGTTCCTTAGGCTCATCCCACTGCATATGGAGCCCTTGCTCACATCAGACACCTCCCCTGCTGTGAAGCCATCCCATCCCCACCTGCCTTCCCAGTCGTTGCTAAGTTTTCTCCCTTGTTTAAATTCCTGTGGCCCTGTCTATCCTCATCTGTCCTTTTGTGTGTGAACGTGCTTTGCTTTTCTCAAACAACCTTGGAGAGCAGGGTGTGTGAGTGACAATTTTTATTGCCTGCAAATCACAGCGCAGTGCCTAGCTATGGACATGCATGGTAGATATTCGGCAATTTGGTTTTAGTGAAGAAATTGGTTCTTATTTCCCAGGATACGTATCTACCTACTTTCTCCGCT